AAAATGTCGGTTATAAGTTGTATATTTATTCACATACAAGTAATGTTTAATAGTCACTGGTGAATATATACAACGGTCATATGTTCTCACACACACATATGATTAGATTTTGGCATAATACAAATATCATATGAAGCATTGAGAAACGTTGATCATGAGGGCGCATGATTTAATCCGTGTATCATATTCGACCATGCCGAGGCTGCTGGAGGGTTGATGTGATATTCAGCCGACTACATGTGCACGGTTGTGTAATAACTGTGACTATAAACTTTTCGAAGCTTAGGGGGCTTATTATGTTTCTTGAGTAAAGTTGAGGGTTTGGATTGAAAAGGTGACCCATTGTTTCATGATGACTTGTTTTCTTTATATACTTTGCAACATATTTAATTTGATAATAATCTTATACAGTTTTAAGTTATTAGATATTCGATGTTTTAGTTTATGTCCATTTGACTAAGAGTTTCATGATTAAAGATCATATAATATCTTTCACAGGCTCTCACCATCTAATTTTTAGTTTAAGTCTAAGCTAATAATAACTTAGTTCGCTTAAACTACGGCTCTGATACCAACTTGTCACGCTCCGATTTTTTTTTCTTTCGTTCGAGCGCTGTGACGTCATTGTTAATAACTTATGTCATGAACAAAAATACGAACTTAAAATTTCAAACACGCGTAATGTGTTTAACATAATTCATTACATAATTGCGGAAACGTAAAATACTTTAATGTAATCAATGCTAATTAAAATATCTAATCAAACATGATTTAAAACATAGTCCCGTCTTTCTTCATTCAACTCGTTTACTGACAAATGATACCTGAGATATATACATGTATAGTATAAACAAAAAGCTTAATGAATACAATATGGTTTCATGATCACATTCACATATATACAATGTTTTTGTGTATTTTAGTTATTATCTTGCAAGTGAGGTCTCGGCTCGTCATTTTTCTTTGCGTATGTGGCATATTCTATGGACGAGGACTTCAAGACCTCGGAATTGCAAGCCCTCCTTTCATGTCCAACTCACCCCGTACGGTGGACGAATCTTGCTGAATAATACTAGTTGCATATCATTTATTTGCAATACTCACTCATTAATGCAAATCTCATCGTGACATGCAACATACATCTCATGCAAGTGATAACATAAATCACATATGTATCATCATCATCTTTCACATTATACACATACTTGAATATCATATTAATAATACCAAGTCATCATAATCTTTCTCATCGACATTATCTTTCATATCATGCATATACTTGAATATCATATACATCAATACAATCAAGTTATCATCACATGCATATAAATACATCATGCAAATATCATGGATAAAATACTTTGTAATAATCATGTATATATCCCATAAAAATCGCATAATGTACACCTTGAATCGTTAACGTCCGATAGGTCGTTCTCTCAAAAACCGCAACCTACATGATAATTCATACCATTCCTAAGCACCTTAGGTAATCGAATCTAAATTGACCGTTATTCTCCAACAATCTTACCACGACTAAACTTAAAAAAATTTATTGATCAACCCCCGATGCCATCATATCTCAAGTTCACTTATTTTCTTGAAATATTATTAATAATGTGACGTCGTTATATATTAATTGTTGCTCGTACATTTTATAAAAATGTGCATTACACTTCACATTTTCTTGAATAATAAATATTTTAACAAAATAACTAAACGAAATAGCTTGCAAGGTAAATAATGTTTTGTGACCAAAACGTCTCGTTTAAGATTTGCAAGTAAATAAAGGTGACAACATGTCACATACATATAGATAACGGTCATTCCATAACTTTAAAGTTCAACATAATTAATATTCGAAATAATATTTAGAACACCAATTTTCCAAGTCTAGGGGCATTTCGATAATCTTAAGAAGCCGAATACCAAATGTATAGATTTAACCAATGCCCTAATTTAGAATATTCTTGGTATATTTTATAAGTTGAATATTAAAAAACTGTGTTTAAAAGTCCAATCCCAAAGCATAGGGGTATT